AGGAAGGAAGGAAGGAAGGAAGGAAGGAAGGAAGGAAGGAAGGAAGGAAGGAAGGAGAAAGGAGGGAGGGAGGGAAAAAGAAAAAAAATCCTAGACTGCCCAGAGCTTATCTAAGGATGTCCCAAGAAGGCTTCAGAGTTATGCCACTCACAGATCTGTCACCTGTCATCTAGGAAACTACTTGGCACCTTCTCCCTATCGGCGCAAGGCCCGTTTCTCCAGGTTACATACGGGTGGGAAAGAATGGGGTAGGCAGAGGACTAGGCTCTGCTGAGCCTCTCCCTACCTGAGCCTCCTCCTGCGGACCTCCCTGGTGAGGACAGGGGCAGCCACGGGGGATGCTGAAGTCACATCAAAGAGCATGTCCGACTCTAGCCACAAACACCCTCAGCCTGTCCTGGGACCCAGGAAGGAGAGGGGACAGAGGATATGGGAAGGAGGCCTGCTGGAGGCAGTGGGGCTGGCTATCGTCTGCTCTGCTCTCAACTGATGTTCGACCTTGAGCAATGTGCCAAGTGTGCCTCTCTGCTCCGGAACACCCTCATCTGTCAAACAGAGTGAACACCTGCCTTCGGCCAGCCTGGCTGGGAGCGTGAGCTCTGTGGAGAGAAACATCTTATCAGTGGGAGGCTGTGGGGGTGCTGTTACTGCTGTAACCCGGCGCCGGCTGTATGTCACTGTCTGCAAGATAGCGTTGAAAAAGGGCTGCTGTCATTTTCTGCAGCTCTGGACTGGCTGGGGAGGCAGCACAACGTGTAGGTGATGAGGGCTGGTGAGGACCCTTATAATTATGAAAATCAAGCCATTTGCCAACTTGGTATGGGTCCAGCTTAATTTCTCCCAGCCCTCAACGGATGCCTGATGGGTCTGGATTGGGACTGAGGCAGAAAAACAGCAGGACCTATAAAAATGTCACTTCTCCAAAGAGCAGAGCTGCAATGGGCAGAGCCCTGAGTCCTTGTGCCTGTGGGGGGAGCTCATGGTGGTGCTCGGGAGCTTGAGAGGGTATGTGTGGGTGCAAAGAGACAGAAGGAGAGGGGGAGCTGATGCGTGTAAAGACCATCTGGCTGGGCACAGGCCCAACCCAACAACCGAGGCCCTTTTCTCTCCCTCCCCCAGCCATGTAACTCCTGCTGTCTGCCGGGGAAGGAACAATAAAATAATCTGGAGACTCCTCTACCCTTTTCTAGATCCTCCTGGGGTCTCTACCTCTGGTCCCTGTGCAGATGTCCAACGCGGGCCAGCTCTGCAGCCCTGTCCGGAGTAGCTCAGGGCCTTCTGTGGGAGTTGGACAAGAAAGGCGGCCCATGCAGGGTTTTCCTGGCATAGCCGTGCCAGATACTGTTAAAGCCCTCCTAATCCGTGTTATTTTCTTCTAATCCCTCCCCCGCTTGCTCCTGCCTGTGTGCCACCCTGCAGGACCTTTGGCCCCAAGCCGGAGCCTGTGCTGAGGAGCCCCAAGCATGAGGAAGCCAGGCACCTGCTGCAGCGAGCCCGCATGAAGGCCAGGACCCGGCCCCTCCGTGCCAGCCATGATATCATGCCCTCCATTGACCAGGGTGGCCGGTGAGTGGGGCCTGGGCCAGGGAAAAGAGATGGGACCTCGCCAAAATGCCTCTGCTCACTCCTCCCTTGTGTGTGTGTGTGTGTGTGTGTGTGTGTGTGTGTGTGTGTGTGTGTGTATGTGTGTGTTTCCCATATCAGGTATTTGCTTTAATTCATTTAGTTGGATTTAGTTGGTCAACATACTTTTACTGAGGGCCTAGAGTGTTAAGCATTGAGGATATGAAGATGAATAAAACATAATCCAAGCTCCCTGGAGGGACAAAAGTCACTGTCTCCAGGGAGAAAGGCAGGCAAAGGGATCAATACAATTCTGTGGATCGTGGTGTAGGAAAGATGTGCGTGCGGGGCAGGAAATCTGTACCTTCACCTGGGAAGGACTGGGAGGCTCAAGAGGAGGCGGTTTCTAAGTTGGGGCTTGAAGGAGATGTGAATATTCACTGGACAGATGAGGGAGGCAGGGGTGAGCATCCCAGGGCAGAAATCACGAGCAGAAGCCCTGTGCTCAGGAGTTTGGCCAGGCTGGAGCCTGAGGACCTGCTGGGTGCATGGTGTGAAGGCCAGAGAGCTCCGCGCAGGCCAGTCGTGGAAGCCCCCAGGCCTGCTGAACAGTTTGCATGTCTCTCATAACAGCGAGGCATCACAAAGGGTTTTAAGCAGGGGGGTAGCATGATCACATTTGTGATTCAATAAAGTGGTCCTGGCTGCAAAGATGTGTTGGATCTGGGGTTCCGGAGGCAGTGAGGAGACTGCACCACGCTCCTGGTGCAATGTGATAGGGAGGAGGGTTTGGAGACAAGAGATTACTGAGAGCCAGAAGGAAGCAGCTTTAATGAGGCGGCAGAGAAAGTGGTTAGAAGACTCTGGAACCAGACCACTGGGTTGAATTTTGGCTCTGCCACTTTTTAGCTGTGTGTCTTTGGGGAAGTCTCAGTGCCTCAGTTTCCTCATCTGCAAAATGGGGATTATAGTAGTGCCTATGTTACAGAGTTGTTGTGAGGGTTATATGAGTTAATAAATACATGTAAAGTATTTAGAATAGCTCCTAGCACATAGTGCAGTGATGGCGAACCTATGACACACGTGTCAGAGGTGACACGCGAACTCATTTTTTTTGGTTGATTTTTCTTTGTTAAATGGCGTTTAAATATATAAAATAAATATCAAAAATATAAGTCTTTGTTTTACTATGGTTGCAAATATCAAAAAATTTCTATATGTGACACGGCACCAGAGTTAAGTTAGGGTTTTTCAAAATGCTGACACACTGAGCTCAAAAGGTTCGCCATCACTGACGTAGTGAGTACTCTGTGAGTGTTACCTCTTGAAAGTAACTTAGAGTGGTCTCCACTTCTCCACTGGGGATATGTTCCAAGACCCCCAATGGATGCCTAAAACTAGAGATAGTACTGAACCCTATATATCCTATGTTTTTCCTCTTAAAGGAAGCACATTATAGCTTCTCTTTGGCATATCCGAATTGTCAACATCACTACTATTGCTCTTTGGGGCCATTATTAGGTAAAACAAGGGCTACTTGAACACAAGCAGTGTGATACCACACAGTTGATCTGATAACTGAGGGAGCTACTAAGTGACTAATGGGCGGAGAGCATATACAGTGTGGAGACACACTAAACAAAGGGATGCTTCATGTCCCTGGTGGGATGGTGTGGGACAATGCAAGATTTCATCACATAACTGAGAATGGCATGCAATTGAAAACTTATGAATTCTTTATTTCTGGAATTTTCCAGGGTTCTGACTTGGTATCTGAAGGTTCGATGGGACCTTATGCAAGGGGTGAGGCCTAGGTGCAGGGTCAGGCTTGGAAGGGAGTTACCCCCGGAACACCCACTGGAGACCCTTATCAGGCAGTTGGATATGGGATCTGTAGAGGAGGAGAGAGGTCAGAACTGCAGATTTGGGTATTACCCTGTTTTCATGATGCTGGAGCTGTGGGTGAGCCTGAGTGCATCAAGGATGGAGAGATGGGAAAGAAACAAGTTCAAGGACATTCAGACCAGCACTTCACATATCTGGCTGCTCCCCGAGTCACACCCTATCACCATCATTGGGACTGTTCCATGTACGGTGCACTGCAAGGAACCACTTACATGTGGAGTTCTGAGCCTGAGATGAGACGGCCAGCCCATGGCAGATTGCACCAGGCCTGAGCAGGACCCTCTCTGTGGTCGATAAGGCCTGTGGCTTCCGTGGCATGGTGGGCATGCTGGGCCTGCCAGTTTTCATCACCACGTGGCACTAGAGGAAATGAGGCTTCTCAGTGGAACTGCACCACATGCTCTTTGATGGAGGATGCTGAGCCCAATCATGAAAGGGCGAGGACCTTCACAGCACCATTGAGATGACTCCAGCATGAGCAGAGGGCTGTGGCCTGCCTCTGTGCTCAGTGTCAGTGTGGCCCTTAGGAGAGGGCTCAGGAGACCCCATGCCCTGGCAACAGGTGCCAAACAGGCTACCCTTTTATTTCCACATTTTGTGCCTTGTCTTCCTCTGGCTGGAGAGCACTAGTTATGAATAGGCATGGCTTCTCTGAAGCAACCTAACTCTTCTCTGCATGTATATGGGGCCCAGAGCCTTCGACTTCCATGGAACCCTCCTGTTTCACTTTCCACAGGTATATAGGTTGGATTGGGTAGCCTCACATAGGCAAGTCTATTGGCAAAATATACTTGACTACGTAAATGTATTCTTGTATGCTTCCTCTTCCCTGAATCATGTCAGCAGCTCACAACAACCCATTCACTGACCTTAAAGTAGGTTCCCCTCTGCCAGCCTGTCCCCTGGCTGTAGAAATGCTATCGGAAAGCAAGGCGACCCACTTTAGCAGCTGCTGTGTCCAGAAAGGAATTACTCTGACTTGGCAGCACTGGTGAATCCTCAGAGGGTAGAGCTGAAAATCAACCCCAGATGGCTTGCTACAGATGCTCTTAAAGGTTACGCTGGTCAAATCATCCTGGAGAGCCGTGCTGAGTTAACATGGAGATGCCACATAGGCCCTGGGCCTTGGTTAGATGCAGGAGCCTCCCTACACCCCAGCCAGCCCAGAGGCATCACTCCTTCCAAAGAGCAGTGAAGGATGATGGAAGCATGGGGGCAAGCAGAGCCATCTTCAGAGGGCCTTTGTATCCTAGGTCTGGTGGAGGCAGCTGGGGCAGCCGGAACAGACAGACAGGCTTTGCCAGGAGCTGAAGAGGTAGCAGTAGCTGCATTCCCTGGAAACACATCAGCGCTGATATAAAGCAGCTCCTGGAAATACACGCTCTTGCCGTTTGGGGGACAGATAGACCTAGCCTGTTGGTCTAATCTCAGGAGGGTAAACACGTCAGCAAGATGCAGGACCTGGGAGGTGACACCATAAGTGCCATTGTCCTGTGTCAGAAAGTGGCTGTGTTCTAACTGTAGAGCTTGAGTGGGATGTATTGAGAGTGTGGTTAGGACAGCATTGTTACAGGAAGTGGGCTCCAGAAGGTGGCCTTCCCATCCTTCCCATAGGCCATTCAGCCCAGGTTCTGAGCCTGACAGAGTCCTCTCCGAGGATGCATACTGAGGTATCTGCTGGCTGAGAAGCTTAGCAGGGTGGGATTTGCTCACTGCCGAAGTGCCTTGTTTGCTCTGCACTTGTCTCCCAAATCCTCCTGGCACCTTTCTGCACTGTCCCAGCACTGCTGGCGGAGGCCTCTGGGTTTTAATACTTGAGTTGAAGGTGCCTCATGTGATTAAGCTCTCCTTCAGTTCTCCTTTGGGAACAAAAATAGTATTTCTACCTTTGGCATAAATTCCAGGGTGACTCAGTTCACCATCTTGTATTAAAAGTTAAGGACAGCCCGACAGGCATGGCTCAGTGGTTGAGCATCAACCCATGAATCAGGAGGTTAAGGTTCAATTCCCAGTCAGGGTACATGCCCAGGGTGCAGGCTCGATCCCCAGTGTGGGGCATGTAGGAGGCAGCTGATGAATGATTCTCATCATTGATGTTTCTATTTCTCTCTCCCTCTGAAATCAATAAAATTTATTTTAAAAAATAAAATAAAAGTTAAGGTCAGTGATGTGGCTGGTAGGACCTGGATCCCTTTTTAGATGTGATTGTCCCACAGCCCCTTCCTCAGGTCCTGACAGCCTAAAGTGATCCAGGTGTAGGTGGGTCCTCAGGGAGGGAGAAGTATGGTACTTACCTGGCCTCTGACAGAAAAATGGGTCCATTTGCATAGTGGTCTGAAAGTCAGGTAACCTGCTCCAGGGCGCCCTGGTGTGAGATCTGACTTGACCACCAGGCACAGTGTCTCCCAGAGCACAGGTTGGTGACAGAATGCGGAGACTTTTCCTAGCACAGTAATTCTCATCACAGCTTTTCAGGATGAGTGTGCTTGAGGGGCTGAGGTGGGACAGGTACAGGGAAGGGGTGTGGGAACAGACAGAGGGAGCATCTGGAGCATCAGTGTCGCTCTGTCTAAATTTTGTCCTAGCAAGATGATTGGGAACCCAGAGGGAGAGCAAGAAACCCTAACTTCTGGTCCCACACAGTCTCTGTAGAGACTTAAAATGTACTCTTCCCATTAAATCTTTATAGCAAATACAGTACTGCCACAAGTCATCACTGCCAGATGCCATGGTGGCCAGGCTCATGTACTCCTGTGTGCACACGCGTGTGTGCGCGCGCACACACCCGCACATCACGCATGCCACGCTGGAGGACTTTGGTGTCATCTTCCTGTACAATCCTGAGTTTAATAAAGTTTCATCTTAACTCAGGCTGAGCTGGCAACAGAGGGAAATGCACGATAAAGAAGGTCCTGTTGGTGCTCTTTAGCGCCCTGTCTCCGGCTCTGGATGGGCTTGTGAGCTACTCTGGTTTGCTGCCTGACTCCCTAGGAACCTGATTTGGGGTAACTTTGGGGTTGTGGTTACCACGGAGCACCCCAGGCTACCTTCCTCCTCACTTCTGTGACCTCGTTTCTGTCTCCCCATCAGGGATGGCAGGAGAAACCCAGCCCTGGACCGGAGGATGCCCTTTGCCTGCAGAGACAACCGCCACAACGGGAGCACGAGCGACTCCTCCAGCGGGGAGTCCAGCAGCGGGCAGTGGCCGAAGCGGGGCCCCTCCCCGTCCCACGTCCGCTTTGAGGATGAGTCTGCCCGGGAGGCCGAGTCCCGCTACCTGGAGCGGCTGCAGCAGCGCCAGCGCCAGCTGCTGGGCCCTG